CTACTGCAACCAGCACCTGCTGCGGTAGCAGCAGGAACAGCAGCAGTGCTTCTGCCACAGCGCCAACAGCAGCCCGTGCACCTGTGCAGCCCGCCGTGTGGAACACTGTGAGCGGCTGCCTGGAGCCCTTCCCGGACCCTTCGACAGGCATTCTCAAGTGGTACTCGTGCGGCCCAACCGTCTACGACAGCGCGCACCTGGGACACGCAAGGACCTACGTGTCTCTCGACGTGATCCGCCGCGTGCTCACCGACTACTTCCGCTTCGACGTCACCTACGCCCTGGGCATCACCGATGTCGACGACAAGATCATCGCCAGGGCTCGGGAGAACGGGCTGCACGAGTGGCCAGAGGTGGCCGAGATGGCTGCTGAGTTCGAGAGGCAATTCTTCGAGGACATGTCGGACCTTGGAGTGAGGCCTCCCGACGCGCTCACCAGGGTGACTGACCACATCCCCGATATCGTTGCGTACATCCAGCGCATCCTCGAGGTGAGCGTTGGTTGGTTCCTCAGGGCTGCTGCTGTCGTAGTTGTCAGGTTACTCACAGGCATTCCCGAGCTTCTAATGTCTGTCATGTGAGCAGGTACGTATACGTAGGTGTACGTGTGGGCGGTATATTTTTATTATTAGCATCGACCGCGCTAACCGGCTGACCAATGAAAAGACGTCAGTCTCAGTGCGGTTGAAAACACAAAAAAAACAACACAAAACACTTTTTATCTGCCATGAACTGGGACCCCGTGAGGGGGCAGCATGGGGGAGGCTAAACTATCCTCCGGATCAAAGACAGAAACAGCAGTGGTGTGTTGCGCATGTAGAAGGAGATACGGAAAAGGTTGTCATGCAAGTCGGTCGACACCTCCGCTGCGCCGCGATCTTGGGGATGGGGGGATCGATCATTCTTGCTTCTGCATTTCCTGAGCAGCATCATGATCATCATCATCAAGCCATTCTCGCCCTCACCCACGACAAAAAATGGTGCCACCAGTTCACAAGCTCTTAAATGCCGGGAACGGCCACATCACGCCGATCGCACCACATCCCGTCCACTCTGTGAAGGAAAGCGGCGTCGGGCCAGGCTACAGTAGTACAAGTGCTACACGCCGGGGGACACGTGGGAAGCCCCGGTGTTGTTCTTTTCGTTTTATCCTTTGTTGACAGCCTTGACTTGACTCATCACTGCCAAGTTATGCTTGGTGGCATATCGTCACCTATTTGCATTCCTTTGTTTCAGCAGTAGTCTAGTGAAGGGACCCGACACCCGCCACTTTCTCGGGGACGGAAGGGACCAGACGGGACCAAATCTTGTTTCCTGTGCAGCTTCGTTGGCTTTCGTTCCGCACGGATTTTGTACATGTCATGTAGGGCATGTGCACGAAAGCCTGCATGCAATGTACCGATGGCAAGTCTGCGGCAAACACGATTGTCACTCCTCAGATCTTCGTGCAACCAACCACTACGCACTCACTCACTTTGGAAGACGGAAATGTTCGGGTTTCACGTCACAGGTCATTTGTACTGTAGTCGTCCAACTCTCATAACTGGTGGAGAACACTTTTGCAAAAAGTGACCCTAACGTGAGAAGGTCCAAGCAATGGGCATGTCTATTGGCCTTACCACAGTAGTTCCTCTCGTCACTCCCCACTCCGTCGTACACACCACCCCCTGCGCTCATCGCAATACTCATTTTCGCTCCACTTCTTGTGCTTGGCCATGGGCGACTCACCCCGCCCCTACCGTTACCACCGTCGCGCTCAGAATGGTATGGCCTACGAGGCTACTGGGGGCGTCTACTTCGACGTGGAGGGCATGGGTGATGCCTACGGGAAGCTGGGTGTAAAGGCGTCAAGCTCTACGACACCGGAAGAGGAGGGCGGGTCGGAACTCCGGGGGAAGCGGAGCCACAAGGACTTCGCGCTTTGGAAGACGGCCAAGGCGGACGAGCCAAGGTGAAGGTGGAAAGGCGTAAAGAAGAGACGGAGGGGGACGTTATTGTTATTCACGCTGCAATCGGCACGTATTCATGTACATGGTCGTGATGCTAGGCAACACCTACTCTCTCGGATAGTTTTGAGTCTAGAGAGGCTGCGTAGGTACGTGGCGTGCCTGATTTTTATTGTTGTGTGATGTGTGCGTGTGTGTCCCTCCCGAGTGTTCACAACTTCCGTTCCCGGTTGGATTTCGAAGTCCCGAACACAATCCCCGATCTCGGCACGTCAAAAACGAAAACAGCTGGGAGTCACCGTTTGGGCGAGGGAGGCCAGGGTGGCACATCGAGTGCTCGGCCATGACCCACTCCCTGTTCGGCCCCAACCTAGACGTGCACAGCGGCGGGGTGGACCTCAAGTTCCCCCACCACACGAATGAGATCGCCCAGTGCCAGGCCCACGCCTGCGGAGGCGTTGCTGTGACAGCAGCGGCGACAGGGGACGGGGGGGTCGGGGGCGAGCGGAAGCCGTGGGTGCGGCACTGGATTCACACGGGTCACCTGAACATCGAGGGGCTGAAGATGTCCAAGTCTCTGAAGAACTTCGTGACGATTCGGGAGTACCTGGAGGGTCATTCGGCGGGGCGAGAAGCGGCGGCGGAGGACTTCCGCATGTTCTGCCTCATGCACAAGTACAGCTCAAAGTGCGGATAAGTGAATGAAGATCAGCGGTGATTTGTTTTTGTACTAGTCCATGCCAAGTTCCGTGCAGCAGTACAGGGGGGTCTGTTGACGTTTGGGAGTTGTTGTGGGAGTCGCGCGTAGACACTGCAGTAGCGGCAGTTGCGTTGTGTTTCTGTCACGAGTGCGTTCGAAGATGGTGACGAGAGCCATGATTCTCTCCTCCTCCTCCTCCTCCTCCTCCTTCCACTGCTATGGCTCCCGTTGGGTTGCTGGCATATCGAAACAGCGTTACTTTCAGCGAGGACCGAATGGAGGAGGCCAGCGTCGTGAGGGGCCGCTTGCAACGCTTCCTGGCTCTGGCCGACGTGACCATCGGGGCGGCGAGAAAAAACCGGCCAGCCGACACCGCCGTACGATGGGGTAACAAGGAGAAGTGGCTAGTAGAACAGACTTCCACGTGTCGCAGGTGAGAGGGCTCCGCAGCATATGGGGCCTACCCCATGGTGGCAGAGGAAATAGATGCACCATCCGTAACCGCAGTTCGTTCTGCAAGTCCACCCCCACCGGCCTGTCTCGTACTCTTGCTACTATTTTGTAATGCATCCAGGGTTATTCCCGGTTTTTCCTTCCATGGCAACATCCCTCCTCTGCGATCATTGCTTCTGTGTCCATGTTTTCGCTGCTTTGCCTAGTACTCCTTTTTCTTGCGCGCGTGTACACCGAAAAATTTCAGAGAGGTGCGTCTTGCACTGAGCGATGACTTCGACACGCCGAGGGCGGTGCGGCACCTGGCTTCCCTCTGCGCGCTAATCTCTCCCCACCTGAAGGAGCTGACACAGGGGGACTTGGGCCCCGTCGTGTCCGCGAGAAATTTCGCGGCGGAGACGTTGGCGCTGCTGGGCGTCGGTGGAAGCAGCACCGGGGTGGCGGCGGCGGGAGGGGGGCTCGGTGAAATGAAGGGGGGGGGG